TCAAGAGCACAGGCCATGGCCTGAGGAACACTGGGATTCACTCTGGCTTCAGCTCCCAGCCAGCTGTCGGACCTTGAGTAAGGACAAGCTCTCTAGGAGATCAGTGTCCTCAGGTGTTAAGTGGAAATCATGGCCTCTGCCTCCTAAGGTGGCTGTGGTGGTTGTGGTGAGGAGGATGGTAAGAAACCAAAGCCCACCCTGGCACATTTGAGGTGCTCTGGAAAGGTTCTGCTTGGGCTTGGTGCTGCCTATAGGAGACAGGCATGACCCAGTACCTCAGAGAGGCTACAGGCTCTGGGCCAGAGAGAAGTGCAGGATGGGCCATTCACTGGGGGCCAGTGATCTCATTTGGGGAACACAGAGAAAGCAGACTCCCCTGTGGGCCAGAGATTAGTGGAGGGACTGAATTTTAATCCTGTCTGACAGGGTAGCTCTTCCTGGAAATCCTCAGGGCTAAAGAACTGAGGGAGAGCCTGAGGCACGTGAAATCTAGGCCCTCCCTCTCCTTGGATCTCCTATGAGGGAGGGAGAGTGAGCAGAGAATGCCCCAGATCCAGAGTCAGATGACAAATAAGGACCACAGACTGTGGGCCAGGGGTAGCTGGAGGCTGTGGAGTCTGGGGAAGTACTGGAGGAGTGGAAAGAACTTAGCTTCAGGCCAGAGCTGGCCCTGAGTGATTGCTCCAGGTCCACCCATGAGCATATATTGCTCATGACCTGGGCCTATGTACCTAACCTCTTTGTGTTTCCACAGCCCCTACTGCAAACTGAGGTTCCTGACAGCATCAACCTCACAGGCTGGTCCTGAGGATTACAAATAATTCATTCGGTATTTGCTAGAAACTGTGTAAGTGGCACCTGCTTTCTCGGTTGGAGAGAACAGTGAACTAGACACTCTTTCATGGATCTTCCATGAGACACTAGACAAGTAGCACAACTGTCGTGTAGTGGTATGTACTCTGCACAAAGTAAAAATTGGATGGAGAAATGCAAATGGGTGGACAGCAACTTTAATCGGGCTGTCAGGGAAGGCCTCCCTGAGGAGGAGACATCTAACGTCAATCAGAGTAATGGGCCTTGGCAGTTAGTCCTTTGGGAGGGCCCTGGCTTCTAGCAAACACCCTCTTCCCCAAGGTGGAAGGAAAAGGTACACTCATGGGCATCAGTAGGTCGTTGTGGGGCATGAGGCTCATGTCTGTGGCTTCTAGCCTGCTCCTGATCTCTTGTTTCTGAATTCCTGCTCTGCTCCAGCATCAGATAAAGATGCAGTCCAACAGAGACCCGCGAATGATCAAGGACCATTTCATGACATCCTTTCCCTGTAACAAATCCAAAAGGCATAACATTCGCCAAGACTCTGGTAACTAATTTTTAGCGGGGGGGGGGGGGAGCACAGGCATCTGTAAAGAGCTCTGTGTGGCTCTTTTCTTCTCTGTTGGTCAGATATTACTGTAGGCTTGCCCTTGAGGAAGGACCATGCTACACTGCCAAATATTTATGCTGTTAACTGTTACCCCAACCTTCCCCTGATGGATCTGTTGCCAAGTACTAGCATGACAGTGCACAGTGGAAAGGTTAGATACTAATCAGAATTCTTGAAGATTATTCAATCCTGGATCAGAATGACACTAATTCCAGGAGACCCAAAGCATCACTGTGGTCCATCAGGCACAGAGAGGGACAATGGAAGTCAGGTCATTAATGGAATTTCACCTCAGTACAATCTCTCAGTGGTCTCAGGTTTTCCACTAACCCACCCAGTGACGATTGGTGGCACCATCAAGAATTTGGAAGATGCATGGTGGTAATCCTGAACAAGTCCTTTTCGTCTTACCTATTTGACATGTGCAGAATGTATAGATCTTGGAGAATGACAACGAAATATAAACTTAGTTGGTTGTTGACTTCAATTACAACAGCTGTGTCACTTGTGGCTCCATTGTGTTAGCCATCCACACATTCCTGGCATCGGGCTTATCTATTTGGTTGAGCAAATGCTTTTTTCTCTCTCTCTTTTAGAAAATATCACCAGAAAGACCTTGCATTCAGCTGGAAAAGGCACCATCGCTTCCTACCTCATGCTTATATCAACTCTCTGAGCTAATGTCAGAAACTGTTCCTTAGGGACCTTGATCACCATTCTCTTGTAACAGACACCACACTGTTCCTTTCATTGATGACATCATTGTGATGGAGAAGTAGAAACTAATAGACACATTGGCAACACACTTGAAAGACAGAACACAGGAAATAATTCTTACATGAAGCCAGAGGCATTGCAACATAGTGAAATGTTTACAGATTTAGTATTTTGGGGCAGGACAAGATTGTGCTTCTACAGTGAACAGCAAATAGACAAATCTCAATTCTCTTACCATTAAAAAAGAGACACAGCAAAGGGTAGGTCTATGAGGTGCTGGTGATAGCACATATGTTTATATTCTCGTGATACTAGAACCCCTGACAAGTGACCTGAGAACTGGCTAGCTTGGAGTGGGGCCCAGAAGAATAAAGTTCTCTGACCCTACATCTATGGCCTCATAGGGAGCTCCGTGTGAGCACTTGACAGAAAAAGAAAAACCATCATGCCTGATTTTCAGTTGGGACAATCAATCCAATATGCAGGCATTTGTCCATATTAGTTCTCCTTTTTTTTTAATTTAATTTTATTTTTTCAGCATATCTGTTTTCTTTTTCCCCATTATATACTTTCTTTTTTTTGGTAGTTTTATTTTTTTCCAGTATTCCAAGATTCATTGTTTATGCACCACACCCCGTGCTCCAGGCAATACATGTCCTCCTTAATACCCAACACCAGGCTCACCCAACCCCCCATCCTCCTTCCCTCCAAAACCCTCAGTTTGTTTCTTAGAGTCCACAATCTCTCATGGTTCATCTCCCCCTCCAATTAGTAGTACATAATATGTTACCCCATATTTAGCAGTGTGAAATGACACAAATGTATGATCAAGGAGTTCCATAGGTCAGAACCTCAGGCAGGCTCAATTGGGTTCTCTGCTTAAGGTCTCACGCAATTGAACTCAAGGTTTTGGCCATGCTAGGTCATTAATTGGAGACTCAAGAGAGAGAAACCACTTCCAAGCCCTTCCAGGTAATTGGCACCTCTAGTTTCTTAAGGTTGGAGGACTGTGGTCCCCTTTCCTCTGCTCTCTCTAGCATAAAGCTACTCTGAGCTCCTAGAACCACCTTCACACATCGCTACGTCCACCCCTCCATTGTCCAAGCAGTAATGATGCATCATGGTCATGGACGCAAGGATGCATTCATGCATGGACCATAAACATGAACATCCACTCAGCAAGACTGATGGTGTTGCAGATACCGCTGACTGCTCCATCTGCCAGCGGGACAGACCAACAACGAGCACCTGATATGGCACCATACCCCCAGGTGATCAGTCAGCTAACTACCAGTTGGCAAACTGATTATTGTGGTCAACATTCATTAGGGAAAGGGAGCTCTATGTACTCCAATAGACATTGATTCTTGATATGGATCTTCCTTCCACCCATAGATATTTGAGGAAACCAGCATTCATGGGTTTAGAAAATGCCTTATCCACTGTTACGGTATTCCACACAGCATCACATATAAACAAGGAAATAGCTTCTCAAGGCACATGCTTATGGAATTCAGTAGGTTTACTAGCTACCTCATAATCCTGAAGTGAAGGCTTCAAAAAAGTCCTGGAATGATCTTTTAAAGCCACAGCTATGGTTCTAACATGTACCATGAGGGGTACCTTGAGGGGCAGGGGTAATATAACTTAGAGGATGTCAATACTCTACCACATTGGCCAGTATATGCAGATGTCTCTCCCATAGACACGATTCACACCTTTATTAATGAAGGGATGGCAGTGTGAGGGACTCCTCTCACTATTACTCTTCTGTATCCAGTAGCCAAATGTTGCTTCTAGTCCCCACAACCTTGGGCTTTCCTGCACTGCGTGTCTTTATCCAAAGGAGAAATGCTTTCCACAAGAGCCCTAACAATAACCCAATTGAAATGGAAATAGACTCTGCCAAGGGGTCAGGCTGGAGTGCTCCATTCCCTTGATTAAGGGAATGGAGCCTGATTGCCTGATGATTTCAGGCAAACTTGGGGGTCCTACGCAGTATGGGGAGATGAACCCTGACTGGTAAGGACACAGGACTGCCATGACACAAGACGCTGAGGAGGACTATGTGCACAATGTTTGGGTTTTTCTCAGCACTCTCATGTTGGTGATTAAAGGAAAATCAGAGCAATTCAGTTCAGGCAGGACATCTAATGGCTGGGTTCATTGGTAACTAAGCTGCGAGTCATCCCCTCAGGCCAAGCCATGTGACCAGCTGAGGGGCTGTCTCAGGCAAAAGGAAAAGAAACGGAGACTGTATAGGGTGCTGGCTGGCTCAGTCAGTGGAGCACATGACTCTTGAACTCAGGGTTGTGAATCAGGCCCCATGTTGTGTGTAGAGGTTACATAAAATACAAAATTTTAAAAAAGAAGTGGCTAGTGTAGAAGACAAGTATAAATATGAGCTACAGGCCTGTGACCTGCTGAGGAGCGAGGATACACTGTAGGCCAGTGACTTCAGGGCACTCCTCCACTTCAGGGGGAAAACAAACAGACAAAGAACAAATTATCTTTTTAAATGCATTGTTAAAGCAAACTTTACTAACAGAAATTTATAACATTAAAGTTCCAAAGCTTTTTCATAACCTCAAGTAGACAATTTTCTCAACTAACATGTATTGAAAGGCATCACCAATATCCAGTGCCACTCTAAGATTCAACTGGTTCATGTTACACATTGATAACTTGAAAACAGAATTATAAGTTTGGGGTGTAATTATCTTTCTTGAGAAGGTGGTCAAGTTCTAATTTTTCTGGTACCTTCTGCAGGTGCCTTATTAAGTTTTGTCTTTTAAATCTGAAAATAAAGAGACAAGTCATTAACCGAAAGACACCCAAAGAACCATAATGTGGAAGGCACTGTGGGGGACAGAAAGGGAAGTTCACAATCTACAAGGGAATAGAAAATGGACCATTTTGGTGAGGGACAACCCAGCAAACACAAAGAGTATCAGTATTTTGAGGTCTTGTCCTACCTCAAAATCCAGTGTGAACACAAGTCTTCTTGAACTTGGAAGAGTGAGGGAGACTTAGATAATATCAATCTAATAACAGCAGAGAAAACATGAAATCTGATTGAAGACTATGGTTGAGAAAATGCAAGCAAGGCCCAACCACACCCCTCGCCCAGCACCACACTGGGCCCCGCTGTGCTACAGAGTTTCTCTCTATACCCACCTTGCTGTTTCCTTGACGGACAATAAAACAAAATTTGTCCCGCAGTTCTACAGATCCTTCCATTCCTTCAAGCAATTTGAAGACCCTTTCATATTCTGGAGATATATAGGGGGGAAAAAAGCCCTTCGATATCTCTAAAGTATGAAGAGGAGGTAGAACTCAATCTTGGTGTCTCAGCAATCACTCAAGAGCTACAATGTTACAGAGTATGTGTGCTTTCCATGCATTCATTCAGACACCCGAACATATCCACCAACGGAACTCTAGTACCCAATAAACGATTAAGAGATATAAAAGAATGACAACAAAAAAACGTTCACTGGGACATTTCAGTCAAAATAAAGAGAAACTGTCCTAAAGTGTGTGAAAACACAATTCTGGCGAAGGATTAGCTACAAGACCTCAGTTGAATCTAGTCTAAATCACAGAATGGGAAAGACCTCATGTAGTTTCACTGCTAAAAATTCTTATCGTACTTACTTTGTCCAAATTGTCGAATTTCCTCCTTTAATTGAAGTTTCATTTCAGCACTAATTTCCACTGGTATTGGCAGTTGATCTGGCACATCTCCCAACACAGACATTGCTTTGACCACGGGCTCATCTGCGGAGCGATAGCTGGGAATGATTCCTCCCACCAGTACATGACTACAAGCTTTGTGAATCAGCCCACCCTTGCAGACACTGGTTAAGTCATGAAAACAAAGAATCTAATTGTACCACCTCCTGCCATACTTATAAGCTCTGGAGATCAGATTTAGACCAGAAGCCATCAGGTGGGGATCAACCACTTTCCCTCCCCTCCCGGTGGATACTGTGGATGACAGGTGCATCTGGAAACCTAACTGAATGTGGAGCTACGATGACATGCATTTCAACGACATCACAGACACATCCATGTGCTCCACAGTCTCTAAAATTTCCTTTTATAGCAGAAGAATATACCAGCTAGATGTATCAGTACTGAAAATTTGACCTCGGGAAAAATAATACAATAAAGAAGCCTCCTCTATTCTTGGCACAATGCATAAACACAGAACACACTTGGACAGTATAACCCATTAACATTCACAGAGCCCTGGGACTCAGGATTCAATGTTCCCTTGATGCCTTCTACAAGGTGAAAAGCTGAACATGTCACTTGATGTCAGGATGCCTGATATGGGCACTCCATCACTAGAAATCCCAGTCAGTAAATGACCTTCTTCATCTGTCTTTTCTGTCTCAGGAGATAATTTTTTTTCTACACCACGTCTGACACCTCTACTGCATTTACTCATCCTCCTTTGTGCCAGACATGTGCCAAAAACTGGGAGATCAGAAGGGAGCCAGACAGCCAGAACAGATAAAGACAATCCCTGCCCTTATGGATCTTACATCTTCATGGGGAAGGCAGAACTTATGTGGAAAATAGGCAAGAGGATTAACACCGTTTAATTTTCTGTTAAGAAGGAAGTCAGCAGTGATGTGACTGAGAGCAAGAAGGGAAGCCTTCCTGACCTCTCAGGAGGTGATCCCTAGGCAGAGCCAGGCACAGGAGACAGAGTTGGCCTGTACACATGCAGAGGAGGAGTTCCAGCTGCCGTGTGGGCCATGCAAGGCCCCTAGCAGGGGATGAGTTAGGGCCATGGAGCAAAGGACAGAGACAAAGAGAGCAAGGAGAACACGGAAAGAACAGGTGATGGCAGGAAAGGATGGCAGGTCCAAGTCATGCAAGGTGTGGGGACCAGTGTCAGGAGCTCAGACTCCGTTCTGAGTGCTTGGGGAGTTGATGATGGGTTTCAGGATATGCATGTAATGATCTGATTTCTATATGGACATGGTCACTCTGGCTGCACAGGAACAAATGGGCTACACAGGGTCAAATGGGAAAGCAGGACACGAGCTCAGAAGCTACTGGAGCAGCCTGCCTAGTGATGAGGCGGTGTTGAATGCGGGAGAGTGTGACAGTGGGACTCAGGAACGATGACAGTGTCAAGAGGAGAGAAAGAAGATCAGAAAGGAGAACAAAGGCAAATTCAATAAGGAGAAGGAAACCAGTAGAGTCCAGAGTTTGGGAAGCCAGGAATGTCTCCACGCAGGACAGAGTGAACACGTGGTCCGGTGTGACTAAGAAATTAATGGCAGTCACACCCAAACCCAGTGACCTTGATTGGAACTGATCCTGAGGCATGGAGGGGCCAGAGGCAGGGCTATCCTGGGTCAGGTCAGGGAGGGGAGGGGAGGACAAGCATCCTCACCATCTTCCGAGGACATAGCTGAGTCCCCGGGGTGGGATGCTCCCTCGCCTTCCTGTTCAGCTTCCTGTTCCACTGACAGTGCCATGCTCAGCTGTCTCTTAGATGGAGGAGGACTCATAGGTTCTCCATGACGTTTCATTTGGTCTTCAGGCCCAATGGCAGACTCCTCTGCTTTATCACTCATCACTTCCTAAGGAGAATCAGGAAACAAGTTCCGTTAATGACAAAAATGTAACCATGCCCAAACTGCATTCTACATTTGTATATACAACATGCATCTGCATCATTTTTATGAGTTTTCTCAGGGGCCAAGGTTTACCATGCCCACAAACACTCTGTATGGGAAAACGGAGGAAGTTAATATACCAGTGTAGTCCAAAGGCAAATATTGTACATGATGAATCAGACTTCTTTCAGTGGAGAGATAGTCCAAGTCCAAGGCAGTGGAGGAGTAGGAGACCTTAGTTTCATCAGGTCCCAGGAATAGAGCCAGTTAGCCATCAGATCATTCTGAACACCAGGAACTCAACCAGAGATCTAAGAAAATAATAGCTGCATCTCCTCAAAAAGAAAAGTGATGACTTTCTGCAAGGTAGGAGGTGTGGAGAAGTGAATCCCAGGCAATAATGAGAAGATAAACTGTGGGGTGGGGGGTTTGGGAGGTTCCATCATCTGGGACTGGGACTGGGACTGGCATCACCAGGGACTGGGAACTGATATAGCAGTGAAGCACAAAATCAGAACTCTTAGAAGTCTTCTCCAGTGGTGGAATGTCCCTACCTGAAAGATGCTCAGCTGGCAAAGTGAGGTGGAACCCTAGGTGGGACAGTGTGGTCTCAGGACTCCTTGGGTCCCAGGAAGACCAAGAGTGCTTGAGTGAAGAAGAGTTCCCAGGCATGAAAGCAAGGAATCAGGCTGCAATCAGCATGCCCAAGAGTGGGATCTCAGCTCACAGTTGCCATATCCTGCGAACCAGAGCACACAACAGGACCCTCCTCCATCCCCCTGGTAGGAATAGCATGGGTGCATGCTGCAGGATTCTGCAGGGTTTGGAGACTCAAAACAGGGTTGTGCCCCTGAGATAGAAATGCTCAGTCACAGCCTGGGTGAGCGTGGAGTGCGAACTGAGACCAGGAAGAAAGGTGAGGTTTGACGGCTTTTCCCTGAGGGCCACAGAGGAGTGGGGGCCCACGATCTCTCGGCTCTGGGGCTGGAGACTGGGACTGCCATTTTCATTCTCATCCTCTAAAGTGCTGCAGAAACCCTTCAGGACACAAAAGCCACAGAGAGCAAACCCAAGCAAATTACCTAACCTGGCTCCAACAAGGGCGGAGCAATTCCACCTGGGACAGACCCCTGAGAATCAGTGCAACAGGTCCCTCCCTCAGCAAGAACATCAGCTAAGACCAAGTTTTCTGATCACAGAGAAATGCAAAACTCCAGGGTTAGGGGAAAATAGGATATAGAATTCATGGGTTTTTCTCCACAATTCTTTAGTCTTTCAATTTTTTTTCTCTTTCCTTCTTCAACTAATTTCTTATTTTATCAACTCTTTTTTAATCCTTTTTAATTGTGATGCTTACAGTTACATTCTACCCTTTCATTGTGTTTAATTATATATATATAGATATAGATATATAGATATAGATATAGATATATAGATATATACAAGTTTTCCTTTTTTTAAATTCTGGGAAGCAGTTGCTTCTAACAAACAGACCAAAATATACCCAGAATCTACTGTATGGCTCATTCTTTTCACCTGTCTAATCATATTCTCTCTTTTATTCCTTTTTCTTCCTCTTCTTTTTTGTTAAAGTTCTCTTTAGTTCTCATCTTCACAGTTACATTCTATGTATTTCAATGTATTTAATTTCACTGTTAAATATGTTTAAGGTTTTCTTCCTTTATAATTTTGAGATGTAGCTTCTTCTAAAAAAAAAACAAGAAAAATCACTCAGGACATAGTGTATTGCTCTATCCTGTTCACCTGTCAGTTCCTATTCTCTCTTTTTTGTCTTTTCATCTTCATTTGTATAGTTACATTCTATCCTTTCATTATACTTACTTTCATTTTTGTACATATATAAGTTTTATTTTCTTTTTTAAAAAATATTTAATTTATTTATTTGACAGAGAGAGATCACAAGTAGGCAGAGAGGCAGGCAGACAGAGAGAGAGGAGGAGGAAGCAGGCTCCCTGCTGAGCAGAGAGCCCGATGTGGGGCTCGATTCCAGTACCCTGAGATCATGACCTGAGCCAAAGGCAGAGGCTTAACCCATTGAACCACCCAGGCGCCCCGAAATGGATGCACGTCAAGAGACCTATAAACTACCAAAACTGAAACAGGAAGAAATGGAAAACCCGAACAGACCCATCACCAGCAAGGACCTTGAAACAGTAATCAAAAATCACCCAACAAACAAGAGTCCAGGGCCAGTTGGCTTCCCAGGGGAATTCTACCAAAGATCCAAAGAAGAATTAATACCTATTGTTCTGAAGTTATTTCAAAATACAGAAATGGAAGGAAAACTTCCAAACTCTTTCTATGGGCTAGCATTACCTTGATCCCAAAAACAGACAAAGACCCCACCAAAAAGAATTACAAACCAATATCCCTGATGAACATAGATGCAAAAAAAGTCTCACCAAGATACTAGCCAATAGGATCCAACAGTACATTAAAAGGACTATTCACCACGACCAAGAGGGATTTATTCCTGGGCTGCAAGGATGGCTCAACATCCAGAAATCAGTCAATGTGATACTCTACATTAATAAAAGAAGGGACAAGAACCGTATGAGCCTCTCAACAGATGCAGAAAAAACACTGGACAAGGTACAACATCCTTTCTTGATTAAAACTCTTCACACTGCAAGCATAGAGGGAACATACCTCAATAACACAAAAGCTGTATTTGAAAAGCCCACTATGAATATCATTCTCAATGGGGAAAAACTGAGACCTTTACGCCTAAGGTCCTGGACATGGCAAGGATGTGTGATCTCACCACTGTGGTTCAAAATAGTACTAGAAGTCTAGCCTCAGCTTTCAGACAACAAAAAGAAATAAACGCATCTGAACAGGCAAAGAAGAAATCAAACTCTTACTTGTCACAGGTGACGTGATACTCTATGTGGAAAACCCAAAAGGCTCCACCCCAAAATTGCTAGAACTCATACAAGAATTCAGCAAAGTGGAAGGATATAAAATCAATGCACAGAAATCAGCTGTATTCCTATACACTAACAATGAGACATGAGAAAGAGAAAAGAAGGAGTTGATCCCATTTATAATTGCCCTCCAAATCATGAGATACCTAGGAATATACCTAACCAAAGAGATAAAGAATCTCTATGCAGAAAACTATAGAACACTCAGGAAAGAAATTGAGGAAGACACAAAGAAATGGATAAAACATTCCGTGTTCATGGATTGGAAGAATAAATATGTTAAAATGTCTATGTTACCTGAGCAACCTATACATTCAATGCAATCTCTATCAAAATATCATTAAGTTTTTTCACAGAGCTGGAACCAATAATCCTAAAATCTATATGGAACCAGAAAAGACCCCAAATAGCCAAAAGAATGTCGAAAAGAAAACCTAGTAACCTCACAATTCCAGACTTCAAGCTCTATTACAAGGCTGTAATCATCAAGACAGTATGATACCAGCTCAAAAACACACATAGGTCAATGGAACGGAATAGAGAACCCAGAAATGGACCCTCAACTCTATGGCCAACTAATCTTCAACAAAGCAGGAAAGAATATCCAATGGAAAAGAGACAGTCTCCTCAACAAATTGTGTTGGGAAAATTAGACAGCTACATGCAGAAGACTAACAATGCACCATTTCCTTACATCATAAACAGAAATAGTCTCAAAACAGATGAAAGACCTAAATGTCTTTAGGATTTAGGTGGACAGGAATCCACCAAAATCCTACAGGAGAACGCAGACAGTAACAACTTAGATTTGGACCATTTGACAACATCTGACAAGGACATGAGAAGAAAAGAACATTACAGGCCTAGATTTCTTTCCTAAAAATAGATATAAAAATTCTAAACAGAAGATTAACAAACAAAAAACACAAAGAGACAAATAAGAGAGACCTCATGTCATGATGTTGTATATTCCATGAAGACAACATTCGGTTCAAACTTGAAAATCTTTGTATAGCATATTTAGAAAAAACAAGGAAAAATTCCATTATTAATTTTGTACAAGGGTACAAGTTCAAGAACTATTTATTCATGATTAAATATCATCAGCAGGTTGGGGATGCCTGGGTGCCTCACTCATTTAACAGTCTGCCTGCAGCTCAGGTCAGGTCCTAGGATGGAGCCCCAGATCAGGCTCCTTGTCCACTGGGGAGTCTGCTTTGCCCTCCTCCACTGCCACACCTCCTACTCATGTTCTCTCTTTCTCTCTCTCTCCTCCCCCTCACAAATAAATAAAATCTTGAAAAAATTATTAGCAGGTTAAAATAAAAGCCAGTTTCTTTGACCTAGTAGAGAGTATTCACCCCAAAATATCCTATAGCAAATATTATACTTAATGGTGATATCCCAAACACTTTCTACCTACATTGGCAACTAAGAGAAGGATGTCTACTATCTATTCAAGAATATATGGAATTCATCAGGTGTGCCACAGTGCCAGGAACATATATTAAGTATAAATTTTGGAAGGGAGGAAGCCAAAATGTCACTCACAGATGGCATTTTTTTGTACATAAAATATCCTAAAGGATATAAAACAATTAAAGTTAATAAAGGAACAATAGCCAAGTTACTAGATGTAGGACCAAGAACCAAAAAACACATCTATTTCTGTGGAATAACGAAAATATTTAGAAAAAAATTCAAAATACCATTGAAAAGAGGGTTAAGAACATCAAAACTCAGGGAGTAAACCTAACAGAAGGTGTGTTGGAGCATGCCACGTAAAACAGAATACCTCACCAAGAGATGATAAAGGCAGTAATGGGGAGTTAGAAATTTTGCTTGGATTGTAAGACTC